GTATCCCCGCTTGTTTTAGGATTATTAGTGGATGTTTTGGTTGTATGTAATTTCGAGGACGGAATTTTATAAGGTGGGGAGATTGTCACAATCCGTCCCAAATAACTAATTTTCGATGACGTGAAATGACAATTTTACCCTTGAATGTTAAGTGTATGGTGTGATTTAAGTTGGATTTGGACCCATTTATTATTTTCCCTAAGTTTTTGGACCCAATTGGAAGTAAGGGAATTGTTGGTTTTGATTGGTGGCTTTTGGACCACACACATACCTTCTCTCTCTTTCTATCCCGTGGACTTTTCTCTCTCTCCCTCTCGGTTCACACTCTCTCTCTCTCCGAACTCATACGGACATATACAAACAAACCAAAATCTGCATGGATCGAAGGTTTTGAGGTCTCCATTGTGTTCCTAGGATCCTTACGAGTCGAGTGGTACCCATTTTCAGCAAGGAAACCTTCGAGAAACCTTAGTTTGAAAGAGAGCCGTGGGTGTACAGTATACCAAACCAGTTCGTGGAGATTTCAAGCCATTCTAAGGCTCAAAAGGTAATCTCGTAGTCCTCTTGCTTGTTTTGGCATAAATTGGAATGATTTTGGACGTCAGAAAACCTCGGAAAGTGGATCTTCGACTTGGGCACTATTCATCAACTTTTAAACCCTTGAGCTTTTGTGAATTTTAGGACCACAGTGAGCTCAAGGAGGTCCTCGCGATGCTCAAAGTGCATCGTTGGTGGGATTTGGACCATAGGAAGCTCAAAAACGGAGCTTTGCAGAGGTTGCCGGAGTTCAAGGACTTCTCCAACGTAATTTCACGTGAATTGAGGTGTGAAAGAGGTATAACGCAATTCTCTACCTCCTAAACTTCATTTTGATGGTAATTGCATGAAAAATGGTGTAGAAATGAGCTAGATTAAGAAGTTGGAAAATTTGCCCAGTTTCGGACGCCGGCGACAGTTGCCGGAGCTGGAGGTAAGAGATGGAAGAATATTCCGTCAAGTCTGACGGAATATTCTCACGGCGTCGTTAGTTGGAGGTTTCTGTTGGGTTTTAACGGAGTATTCCTAACGACAGTTAGGGAATCCGTCAGGATTCCCTGCGCGTGGTGGCGCGTTTTGCCGTGCACCCACCGGCGCGTGGGAGGTCCAAAAATATTTCTAAAAATTTGGGGATGATTGTGAGGTTGTGTAGGTCACGTTGGTATATTCATATACCTATTTTGAGCTTTGTATGAGATGTTATTAGATAGTTTTGTCTATGTGCTTTAAAATAATGTTTTTATAGTTAATTTGCTTATAGGTAAGGCTTATCCCGAGGATGAGCGTATCCATGGGCGACTCGGGGGTTACGACCCATTGGCATATCAGTGAGTGGGCTATTGTTTTTAGTATATACTTATATACTTGATATATTTCCCATAAATTCATTTTTAGGAAAGTATGCTTTGAAATAATATGCCAAATGCTTTTATATTCTGAATATGCATTTCATGGTTGCATATATATATATATATATAAATGTGGTGTTGTGGAGGCACAGGTAAGTTCAGGTAAGTTACGTTTGGTTATGTGAATCATCGATGATGTGATATGTGATTGAATAATGTTAAGCTCATAAAACTGCACCTAGGGTGATTGTGATTTAGCCAGAGATATAAAGTACATGCCTATTTATTTACGTCACCTCCCGCACTATATGCTCAAATTGGATCCAACTTAAGTGCACAGTCTTGTCGTACAGACCTTATTTATGGTTCCGACTCGTAAGTGACTAGCGATTTATCGCCCGACTATTATGAGAGAATAGAATTGAGCATAATTATATTACACCCAATCTTGTCCTACATACCCTTTTTTAGTGGTTCCGACTTATGTGTAGTATGTTGCCGTATAGGTCATTGTAGTGACTCCGGCTAGAGCAACTTTAAGCTATGAATTCAATCGTACAAACTACCACAGGGGTTCCGGCTAACATATCATATTTCTATGAATTTATTTTTACCTGAATTGCTTACTCTGTTATATATTGGCATGGCATATATTTGAAAATGATTATGTGAAGCATGAATTGAATTGATATGATTTCATATATATATATATATATATATAAATTATGTATATGCTTATATTCTGATTCTGGGAAAAATTATACATGTTTTATAGCGAGGGGTTAGATATGTTGATAAAGAAAATGATTTTGTAAAACATTTGTTTTTGCCCACTCACGTTTTCTGTTTTGCGCCCCTCCAGGTTTTAAGTAAGCTTGCTGTTGGTGGCTTGAGGACATCGACAGTTCTGACCTATCTAAATAATAGTAGGACATTATTGGTACTGCATAACTAGTACTTGTCCTACTGGACTGCACCTAGACTTACTATGCTCTGATTAGGAGTATTTACGTTTGTAACTAACTCCTATCACTTCCTGTTTAGTAGTACACTCTAGTAATTTGGTTTTTCATTATTCGTATATTTCTTTTCATTATTGCTTCCGCACTGTGCACATGGCTACGTCACTCTCACGTGACGGCCAACATGCCTTGATCTCGGTCGGGGTGTGTCAATCATTGGATGTTATGTTTAGGGGTGGGAAAAAAACTGGTAATGAGTGTAAAAAAAATTGGGTTGATCAAATTCAAAACTGATAAAACTCGAACCGATATTGGGTTGATCAAGTTCATAATGAATTTAATGTACAAATTAAATTTTTTTTTTGAAAAAATGATATTATATGCACTACGGGAAGATGATGGACTTAGCCTCACAATGAGATAGTAATAATGTAGTTCAAATTCGTTTTCGGCAAGAATCAAACATAAGACCTCTCACTTACAAGTGAAGAGGAATATCACTAGGCAGTAGTGCTAGTGGCAATGTACAAATTAACTTTTAGTTTTTAAGAATCAAGCAACTCTGCCACTTAGTACTACGGTCTAGTGATATTTTTCTTCACTTGTAAGTGAGAGGTATTGAGTTTGATTCTTGCCAAAGAAAAATTTGAATCACATTATTGCTTGCCCATTGTGAGGCTAAGCCCACCCCATCCCCTTTAGGGATGTCAATTCTACCCGGTAAACCCGATAACTGTGGATAACCGCCCGAATGAATTGGATTTGAGTATAAAAATTCAGATACATTTTGGATATGAGGAAAAACCGTGAATATTATTCGGTTTTGATTTTGGATATGGTTAAAGGGCTCCCAATCCGTAACCATCCTTGAAACCAAATCGAACAATATATATATATATTCATTATTCACCGAATCCATTACCTCGAGAATACAAATGTTGCATTGTGTGAGTTGCATTTTGTGGGAAAGTTCAGAAGTTTTGAATTAAAATCAATTGGAATTCAATGGAACTTGTGAAAGGTCATTAAATATATATATATATATATATATATATATATATATTCATTATTCACCGAATCCATTACCTTGAGCATACAAAAGTTGAATTGTGTGAGTTGTATTTTGTAGGAAAGTTCAAAAGTTTTGAATTAAAATCAATTAGAATTCAATGGTGCTTACGAGAGATATCAAAGATCAACCAACAACATCAATGACACACCCTGACCGGAGTCAAGGCGTGACGGCCAACACGCCTTGACTCAGGTAGGGGTGTGTCAATCAATATTTAGCTTTAATTTTTATACTCCACAAGATCCCTTCACTGAATAATTTTATACTATTTAATGACGAAATTAATATTTACTAAATTATAATGAGTCAACTAAACAAATATATTTTTTGTATTGACGAAGATGGATACAATTGTTAACTGATGGGAAATCCGTTATCTGGTGGGTATGGTTATGGATAATAATTGATGGTTAATTTGCGGTTATGAATATAGTTAATTTTCGTGGTTATCAAGATGGATATATCATTTCTGTCCCCAAACCAAACTGTTTTCTATTTTTACTCCCCTTTAATGTAGATAATATTATTTGTTAAAAAAAAAAAAAAATTCAAGCAACTCTGTTTTACCAAACCGTTTTGCTGGCCCAACTCAAAACCCAAATCATTTTTCTTTTCTTATTTCCCTAAGCCCACAACCGAATTTTTTGGTTTTAAAACCAAACCGAAATGAGTACACGTATTTAGTTCGGTTTATGGTTTTGGGGTGAAATCGGATCGAACTGAACCGTATCCACTTCTAAATGTGTTAATCGAATTGAACTGTGTACACCCCTAATTATGTTAGCATTTTTTTATTTTATTTTTTCATTTTTTCCCTTTATTTGATCAAAGGGTTAAAATCAAATCAGACTTGGCTACTTACATGTAAGAAGCTATTTTCTTTATTTGAAGATGTGACATTGTTTTACATTACAAATGTTATAATTTGAATGGTTCATTCTCTTTATCATCATTAAAAGATCATCTATAGAAAAATTAATTATTTTGAAGATTGTTTAGTCATCCATAAGTGTCGAACAAATCAATAGTTTTTTTTAGTACATTGATATTTTTACACTAGGGGTAGGGGGAGTTTGGCTAAGCCACATAATGAGCAACCTAATTTGGTTCGAATTCGCCATCCACGGGATTCGAACCTAAGACCATTCACATTTAAGTGAAGAGGAATACCACCAGACCGTAGTACTAAGCGGCAACAAATCAATAGTTATAGTAACAATTAATATCTTCATGCTTAACTGTCAACTTATTTGGATCATATGGATGACTAAACATATCTTCAAATGGAATGAAATTTTCTTGAGACAATGATAAAAATAATGAATCCTCTGGATTATAACGTTTGTATAATAAAATGATGACATGTTGTCATGTAAGAAGAAATAACTCTTTAAGAAAAACAATAAGAAAAAGAAAAGAAAAGAAAGGAACCCCATAAACCTAAAGAGAAATAAATGTGGTAGACTATTAATAATTATGTGCACAAATAAAGTGTTTTTGAAGCAATTTAAGCAAAAGTTAGATGCCAATCTTTGTCTAGAAACTGCGCCACAATATCATATTCTTTGTTGAGTGCCAATGTTGGATCATTTTGCTAAAGTTAATAGATAATGCATCAAAAAGTCGACACACAAATCATAGCCTATAAGCTATGTGACAAAAATATAACTCCCATCATTACTAAAGCCAAAACAATTAAGAAAAATTACAAATTAAACAGGAATAGAATAGTTCAGCAGTTGCACATACTTAAAAAGCTAATTAATTAACATTGTCCTTCATATAGTGATTATAGCAATCACCAAAGTACAAATCATTTCCAGGCAATGAAGTTTCAGGCCATATTTCAATGGACACAAGCAGTAGCACCTGCAAAAAGATGAGCATATACGGTGGTGTTCAGATTGGCATATATGAAACATACAAGACATGATTTCGACTTGATTAAACCACAACGGATCACTGATAGACAATAATAGAAAGTGATATGTAAGTAATGTTTTCTCTTTAGATTTACGTTATTAGACAGATTCTTATATTATCAATAGTTTAACTTAACAACTAATTCAACTTAATCAATAGTTTACATTTATCAATAGTTTGTCTTAACAACTAATTGAAATGACTTCATGATGTGACCATGACAGTTGAGCCATCGAGTTTTCGAATTATAAGAACTTGGCTCTTTAAGAAGTTTTTTTCTTCTCATATACAAATTATAATTTGATGGGTATAAAAATTTATTTTTTTTATTTTTCAAAGGTCACTTCAGCACAGTCAGTATATGAATACATATTTAAGTAATTCAGATCCAGTTGTTAAATTTTTTTGAATCTTTCAGCTACACTTCTAACCGTTAAACTTGATACAATCTAAAATGTTCGTTATGACATCTATGTAGTGTTGTAAGATCAAGTTCCTTTTGGGGCCATAAAGTTACACTGACACCATATTTTACATGCTGATGGATTAGATGATTTCCCAATTATTGGATGAAGATTTGACAAATTAGCTCCTTATAGGTGCCCTTTAGTACTATACAGAAAAGATAATTAGGCCTTTTTTGTATTATCCACTTTGTTAATGTTAACAAAAATATGTGGAAACATTTTATGTCTTTGAATTGAAGAGAGTATGCATATATATACCTTGAATTTGAAGCAAAGAAACTGATTCAGAGGCATCACTTTTAACCTTGGTGACGAGTTCTACTGCACCGGGCTGCTTCTGGCCATCTGATTTGTCAACCTTGACATCATGCTCAGCTGGATGGATCTTCCTCTTCAACATCCTCCTCATCAGCTTTGGCATTACAAATAATTAGTTACTTTTTGGGTTTCTGGAATTACAGATTTGTTACTAAATCATTGAAATGTGAAAAATAAGACCACTAACAGTTAAAAAGTAGTTAATATCTTGATCACCCTTTCTGTGTATCTAGGACAATAAATGTGCATCACAATTTCACAACATAGGAAACAAATGACCCAAAGTTCGATCCCCCTCTTCACTCAACTTTGAATCTCCTTTTCCGTAGTGTAGATAAATTCAATGTAAAATATTGCTTGTAGAAAAAATAAAATTAAAACAGATGAACCAAATCATAAATATTCAAAGGCAATGACTCACTCGTTGCAGATTTTTTATTGGACTTGAATCCTCTTTGACGCGAAGAATGAGCTTCTTGGCAAATGATAGGCCGGTCTTTGTTCTCACGTTCACCTTTTTCTGCATTTTTGGCTGGACTTTGCAGGAGTCAAGCTTCAGTTGACCAACATCATGAACATGATCAGCCTGGAATAGGTCAGCTAGGGTTATTCTTTGGCCTCTCTTCTTCCTTTGATCATCATCAGTGATCTCGGAACGGTACAGATCAGGAGGTGCAATACTGATTTCATTGTTGGACCCTTCGTATGGTGTAAGAGGAACACCATCAACGGTCAAGATCGCGTGATCATCATCAACTAGTTTCTCAGTGGCATCAGAGTTTGACCCAACGTCCTCAAACTGTGTCCAAATGTTTTAAACATTAAAGGATTCAGTTCTTCATCTCCAAAATTATCATCATAATGTTCATCATCTTCGTCGTAGTCATTACCACAGTGTGAAAATCCATTGTTTTCCTGATCGTGCTCTGCGCTCTCCAAAACGAAATATTCGTTCTGAGGGTTGAAGGGTTTTACGGGATCGAAACCCAAGGTACCTATCGTTAAAATGCCCTCCCTCCAACCGTCAAGCCCATCAACATTAACAAGTCCGACTTGCTTGAGAAATGCTTGTGTGCCCTTGTGATTGGTTTCCACTTCCAGTTCAGTTTTTTTCACATTTCCAGCAAACTCAACTGAAGGAAAATAAATTAATCTTCACTAAGCGCAAGAAATAAATACATATAGAAAATTGACAAATGTAATTAGTACATGACTTTTTAGCTAAAATGGTCTCTTATATTAGCATAATTTCTCAATTTGGTCTCTAATAATAAAAATCGATAGAAGTGGTCTATGAGTTTGTCCGTTGTAAATCATTTTGATCATTTTATGAAAAATTTGTCAATATCCTCATTAAATTGTCACGTGAATGACAACATGACCATCCTTTTTAAGGTATTTTTGTCAAACCAATTCATTCACTTAATGAAGATATTAATAGAGATTTCACATAATAACCAAAATAATTTACAGTGAACAAACTCAGAAACTACTTCTATTGATTTTCATTGTCACGGATCAAAATAAAAAGTTATGTCAATCTTAAAAACCACTTTGACTAAAAAGCCTTAGGTACAATAATATATCAACTAGGAATAAAATAAAACAAAGTACATATAAAGAGAAAAGTTAAGAAAAAAAACCCTTCTGATGAAGCCGCTTATGAACCCAGTTGAAGATCTATATGCAGAGAAAGAAAGAAGATCAAGAAAGACGATCAATTAGTGACATGCACAATTAATTGTGCATTTTAAGAAGTTAAAATATGATATAATAATGTGCATGGTTCTGGAACTAGTACGTACTAATTAATTACCTTCATATTTTTCTGAGGAAAGTTGCCAAATTATCAGAACAAAGCGCCAGTGACTGAAACACTGAAACTGAAGAGGAATGATTGAGTACCAGAATTAAAAGGGCAGGGGGGCAAGTGGGTTGCGGTCTTGCAGAGTCAGAAAACGACACGTGTCAAGAGCGGGGCCCCTAAACTCCAGCTGTGTTTGTGGGTGCATGGCTTGTTTGGCGAGCCACGATGTTGGATCTTTGTGGCATGATCGATGTGCCGAAATTCTTGATAAGATGTGTTTGTTTACCCGCTGTACTCTCTCTCTGCCAGCTCCACCGCCTCATCAGTCAAGTTCAGAGTTTGCTTTCTTTTTCGGTAAAAAGACTAGAATACAAAGTATACAATTTAAAATTGGTGCATCATGAACTTTCATCTTTATTTAGATGGGCCTTTAGACTGAATTTTTATTATCCTTTGATTAATGTTTTTGATTTAGCAAAATGTACACATTGGTCCCTTAGATAGATTTTTCATCAAGTTAATTATATGGCTGGCATAGGATTTACAATTGATCCGGGAATTTTCACTCTAATTTAGATTTAGTTGTTGAACTAGAATTGCATAGGTATTGACCCACATGAGTGTCACATTATCAGACTAACAATTTTTTATTGGTGTTAACAGTTGGGACCGGTGGTGTACGTTTTGTTAAAATTCAAGGACCCCAATTACTATACTTTAAGTTTAATTAAGGACCAATTGTAAATTAAGGCGAAACTTCATGGATCAATTTTATTGTATTATATTTTTGTGTACTATACACCCGTAGGCATTGGATCTTTAGCTGCACATTCAACAATACATTCATTTGGTGCATGTTATATATCAAAGCACAATATAAATTTCAATATATATATATATATATATAGGTACTCCGAGTATGACATGCCCTGATTAAGGTAGTCAGGCACAAGTCCAGTAGGCTTAAGCGCATTAGGAAGGTTACTTAAGGAAACTTTTATTCATGTCAAATTAGGATATCTTGAAGATTAGGCAATGCAATCATAATCCTACAAAGATCTAATATCTTATGTAGATACCTCCTAGAATCTATCTCGTATTAATATAGATTCCTTTCCCTACAAGGATTCTCAATATCTGTATAAATACCCTAGCCTGGGTATACACGATCACTTATCCCACAACACTCACAAGAACTACACATGGTTTGATTCTCCATACAAGGAGATATGTAGGCAATTCTCTATGGATTTAATCACATCAGCCAAACAATCTCTCCATTCATCGATGTTCGTGGGCTTCTGGCGACTGTTCGTATACCATCGAGGATTTAGGGGCATTCAAGAGAAGAGTTCACATTACATCGAACTTTAACAAGCTAAACGGTCTATTTATATATATTGAGTGGTGCAACTTCTAATTAGATCAATTCATTTTTTGATAAAATCTCACATGTGCTGTGTTGTATAAATAATAAGATGAAAATTTGAGGAGGATATCAATATGATTAATAGTAGATCGCTAACCTTTTTTTTTATTATATATCTTGAGAAGGTATAGCAGTTTGTTTGACTACGGCCGAACTAGGTCCGAAGTTGGTGTACAAGTGGTCCCTATGTTGTGGTCCGACATAAGGGGATGAGTTGAGGAATGCCAGAATCTCACATCACAAAATTAACAAAGATAAGTATGACGCATAACGAAGGATTTCACGTCTAAGTAATTACACCAATACCTTTTGTGATCAAAATTTCACAGATATTGTGGTGAAAAATTGGTAATATACAAGTTTGGAGATGATATCAATGCGATTAATATTGTGTTAGACTTGTTTCTATAAGATCTTAACATGCATATCATAAACTTACTTGCTGAAAAATAAAAGATATATGTGAAAAAAATGAAATACATGGGTGTGAAATGTGAAATTATATTATTGCTTACCGTTGATTATTTCATTTCTACTTTCCTTCAACTTTAGGTGTTTTTTTTTTATGTTGTACTTTTCATAAAAACTCCGCCTATGTCTTACATGGCCGGTCCCAAGCCCGGATAAAGGAGGAGGGGGAGGGCGTCAGGTAGTCGACAGCCGGCACTCCATGATCACGTCGAATCCTTATGAAAATGAATCCAGAACAAAATTGCGCTAAAGCTAGGGCGTCACCCGTAAGTGGCGCGCTGTGTGGCCCGAGCACAGTGATAAGTGAGCAAGGGTCGCTGTATCTCCATCGGCACCCGGATGCAGTGTTAAATGAGCAAGGGGGCCATAGAAACTTCTTTTCGAACGACTCCACTCAAAGTTGTTTGGGAGCATATGCTCCTATCAACTTTACCCGGGACACACAAAAGAAGTACTTTGATCCTATTAGACGGGGGAGGGTGAAGAAGCTAGGACAGAAGGGTAGAGTTCAAGAGAGCAAAATGCGTTTAGGAACGTGGAATATAGGAACCTTAACGGGAAAATCTATGGAAGTAGTGGAAGTTATGGTGAGGAGAAGGATAAATATTATGTGCCTACAAGAAACTAAGTGGGTTGGTAGTAAGGCAAAGGATCTAGAAAACTCAGGGTTTAAACTTTGGTATTCGGGCACAAAGTAGAACGAGAAACGGTGTTGGCATCATCGTGGACAAGACCTTGGTACAAGATGTTGTAGATGTCAAGAGGGTAGGAGATAGAATCATGGCAATCAAGATTGTAATAGGACAAGAACTTATCAATGTGATTAGTGCGTACGCACCTCAAGTAGGGTTGGATACGAGTTCGAAGGAGAAATTTTGGGAAGATCTTGGAGACTTGGTGCAAGGAATTGCTCAGACGGAGAAGTTATTTATAGGAGGAGATTTAAATGGACACGTGGGCAGGGAGACAGGCAACTATGGAGGTTTTCATGGTGGCCATGGTTTTGGGGAGAGAAACGAGGATGGGGAAGCTATCTTGGATTTTGCAATGGCATATGATCTCTTCTTAGCCAACACCTTCTTTAAGAAGAGAGAAGAACATGTGTGATCACCTACAAGAGTGGGTCGTCAAAAACACAAATAGATTTTCTTCTAATGAGGAAAGGGGATCGTATAACTTGTAAGGATTGCAAAGTTATACCAGGAGAGAGCGTGGCTAATCAACATCGCTTGTTGGTGATGGATGTACATATCAAAAGAGTAAGACAAAAGAACAAGACTTGGAAGTGCCCAAGGAACTAGATGGTGGAATCTAAAAGAAGAAAAACAAGCCATTTTCAAAGAGAAGGTAATCACCCAATGTGTGTGGGATAGAGAGGGGGAAGCTAGCCAAATGTGGGATTCCATGGCTAGTTGTATCCGAAAAGTAGCAAAAGAGGTATTAGGAGAGTCCAAGGGCTTTGCCCCACACCAAAAGGAATCTTGGTGGTGGAATGAGGAGGTACAAACAAAGGTGAAGGCTAAGAAGGAATGTTGTAAAGCCTTATACAAGGAGAGGACCGATGAAAATGGTGAAAGGTATAGAAAAGCGAAGCAAGAGGCGAAGAAAGCTGTCAGAGAAGCTAAGTTAGCGGCTTACGACGATATGTATAAACGACTAGATACCAAAGAAGGAGAGTTGGATATCTATAAACTAGCTAGAGCAAGGGAAAAGAAGACAAGGGACCTAAACCAAGTGAGGTGCATCAAGGATGAGGATGGAAAGGTTCTTGCTACAGAGAACGCGGTTAAAGACAGATGGAGAGGTTATTTTCATAATCTTTTCAATGAAGGACATGAAAGGAGTGCTTCTTTAGGGGAGTTGAGTAACTCAGAAGAGTGTAGAAACTACTCCTTTTATCGTCGAATCCGGAAGGAAGAAGTGGTTGTAGCTTTGAAGAAGATGAAGCATAGAAAAGCAATAGGCCCAGACGATATACCAATCGAAGTGTGGAAAGTTTTGGGAGAGACAGGTATAACATGGCTCACTGACCTTTTCAATAGGATTTTGAAAACGAAGAAGATGCCAAATGAGTGGCGAACGAGCACTTTGGTGCCTATCTACAAGAATAAGGGCGACGTACAAAATTGCATGAACTATAGGGGTATTAAGCTAATGAGTCATACAATGAAGCTCTGGGAGAGAGTCATTGAGCATAGATTGAGGCAAGAGACACGGGTTTCGGACAACCAATTCGGGTTCATGCCAGGGCGCTCAACCATGGAGGCAATCTATCTCTTACGAAGATTGATGGAAAGATATAGAGATGGGAAAAAGGATTTACACATGGTCTTTATAGATTTGGAAAAAGCGTATGATAGGGTCCCAAGAGACATTCTTTGGAGGATTTTAGAGAGAAGAAAGGAGTACGAGTAGCATATATCCAAGCTATAAAGGATATGTATGAAGGAGCAAAGACTGCCGTAAGAACTCATGAAGGACAAACCGAAAGCTTTCCCATAACTGTAGGATTACATCAAGGCTCATCCTTAAGTCCTTACCTTTTTGCGTTGGTAATGGATGAGTTAACAGGACATATTCAAGATGATATTCCTTGGTGTATGCTTTTCGCAGACGATATAGTGTTGATAGATGAAACTCAGGAAGGGGTAAATGCAAAGCTTAACCTTTGGAGAGAAGTGTTGGAATCTAAAGGTCTTCGCCTAAGCCGATCAAAGACAGAATATATGGAGTGCAAGTTCAGTGCAAATGGAGGCCAAAACGAGTTAGGGGTGAGGATCGGAGATCAAGAAATACCAAAGAGCGACCGTTTTCGTTACCTAGGATCTATCTTGCAAAAGAACGGAGAATTAGATGGAGATCTCAACCATAGAATACAAGCTGGATGGATGAAGTGGAAGAGTGCATCCGGCGTGTTGTGTGACCGCCGTATGCCACTGAAGCTCAAGGGAAAATTTTTATAGGACGGCAATAAGGCCGGCGATGCTGTATGGCACAGAATGTTGGGCGGTGAAACATCAACACGTACACAAAATGGGTGTAGCGGAGATGAGGATGCTTCGTTGGATGTGTGGGCACACGAGAAAGGATAAGATTAGGAATGAGGATATCCGGGGTAAAGTAGGAGTAGCCGAAATTGAAGGAAAGATGAGAGAAAATCGGTTACGGTGGTTTGGACATGTGCAAAGAAGGCCTACTGACGCTCCGATTA